CAGGTGTCTCCAGGGGACAATGCAGAGCATATGTAAGTTTTATGCTAATGAAGTGTCTATGTGTGTAGTGCTTCACTGGAAACTGGACACTAGGCTTGTGCTGCAGCTCTTTCTTCTCCAAGGCTCTCTGGGGAAATCTCAGCCCTCAGGCCTGTTTTATTTAAGGAGATTGAAAGACAAAGAGAACCCCCTTGGTCTAAGTGAAGTGTTCAGTAAGATTCTGAGGGGGAAAATCAGGTTTCTTTAGAAGGGCCCTAAAGAATCTCGTCAATCTCATGACCTTTCAATCCAGCTGTTTAAGTGTCCTAAGGGATGGTGTGACAAAGCAGATCTACAGTTCTGTTCTAGTCATACCAATTTCCCATTAATCTCTTTCTCTTTGAGTAGCTTTCAAATCAATTGATGTTTCAAAACTCCTCCTGTAAGCCCCACACCTTTTTCATGAATATAATCTGCCTTTACAACAAGACCATGAGAGAACTTTAACTGCAGTTTTTTTTCCAGGTGTACTTAATTTAGGTTATTAATAATCTTTGGTTTCCTTTTATTTCTGTCACCCTCCCACACTTTTTTTTTTCCCCCTTTAGTTCTGAGGAGTGGAACAAAGTCAGCAATTCAGAACGTAAGAGCTTGGGACTCACTCTTGAGAATGATGGAGAGTTCTGGTGAGTGGGAGTCATTTGAACAGCTTGGAGATACAGGTTACACTGAGTAATTGTCATTAATTCTGCCATTTAACAGCTTTGAAAACAACTCCCCCAAATGGATAAGGTTATCCAGTCCTGGCACAAGGTCTGTTTCTTTTGAAACTCTTGAGGGATGACAGAGAAAAACAGAAAAACTGAATTAAAAACTAGTAGAACAAAATTAGTAGCTCTTAGTAAGTTTAAGTTTCAAACACCATCAAAATCTGTTATCCATATTCAGGACATTAATTTGGAATCCAAGACAACACATGTGCTGGTTTACATGACAGAATGTCAAATACTGAACACACTGTCAATCCTGTTCACTGACTGCTGTACTTATCTCTAGGATTTCTAGGTCAACTGTAGCTAAGGTATCTGCAATCTAAATTGCAACCAAGGAATTTTGGTATGTACCAGTATTTTCCAGCATGGGCACAAAAAGTGTTCTCTAGAATTCTGGTAAATTAGCCTCTGCTTAGAGCTTAGAGCACACCAAGGAAGTCCATCAACTTCTTCAGTAGATCATCAGTGTTGCACCAAGTGTGCTTGTAGGGCTAAGTATGACAAGTCTTCTGTTTGCTTGGCTTTGTCAGAAGTGGTGACTGGAGGCCAGCTGTGGGGTTTGGTTCTGGGCCATTAATAAGCCAGGACATGATGGTATTTCAGAGGTGCTAAGCTGTTAGAGGAGGTGATTTTTTTTAACTACTCTGCAATCCAGTCTGTCACTTTAGCCAGCACAGTTTAGGGCATTGAGATGGTGCTAAATAAAAGCTATGAAAGGTACAGAACTTTGAACAAGGCTCAGAGACAGCTGTAAACAATAAGGATTGTAATCATGAGGAGTGGATGGTGCTTTGGTTGCAGGCAGTCTCTTTTGCCTTTGCAAAATATGTTATCAAATCCAGCCTGGTACTACAACCTATCCTTGAGGCTTAGGTGCTGCAACTGAGCATTTCCAGACCTGACCAAGCACACCGAGGTGGAAATTCTCTACATTAAGTTCTAAGATGGTGTGATTGTGGTTTCCACAAGTATTTCCACATGCAGAGCTTTCCAGTGAATCAGTCTGTTCTCTGGACAGCTGAGCAATGTCTCCTTTTAAATTGCTGGAAATTTTGGTGTGTTATTTTGGCTGTTCACATGAGTATCACTGTTTATTTTTAAGTAAACCATGACTTTCCTGGTGTCCCATGGAATAGGATGACGTTTGAGGACTGGTGTAAGAATTTCACTGATGTGGACATCTGCCGGATTGTGAATACTTCCTACTTCAGCATCCACAAGACCTGGGAGAAGAAAATGATGCATGGGGCTTGGGCAAAGAATTCAGAGCCCCTGCTAAATCGCTGTGGTGGGTGCTTTGATAACAAAGAGACCTTTCTTCAGAATCCCCAGGTGGGAATACCTTTTGTGTGTTGAAATGTATCCACTTTAGATAGGGCTTCTGAAGTATCCAAAGTATTTAGGAGTTGGAAGTGACTACTTGATAGGCATCTCATTGCTGGTTCACTGCATGTTTCAGTGATTTCTGTGAAATCTCTCAGAAAAATTTAGGTATTTGTTTAGGACTGATCATGCTTGGGGCAGATGAGTCAGGCAGACCAGGATTAGTGAAGTCCTGCCTTGACTTCTTTCAGTTTCCCAGTTGTAGAAAGGCAGAAAGTCTCATTTTCTACTGACAGAACTCCATTTACTTAACACCCTTAAACAGCCTGAGGATTTGATCCACTGTATTTAGTTAGTATTCCTTTGCATTATCGAATGTTCTGGAAGTATCTAGTCTCTTCTCATAATCACTACAGAATTTTCCTTGTCTCATCCTACCTGGTGACTTTCCAGGTATTCAAGTTATCTGTTAATCCATTCTTAGTCCATTTCTCACTTTAGTGCCCTTGGAGCTGTATGTTTTCCTCCCAGTCCATGCATATTCAGGCATAAAACTACCATTAGTGTTGATGAGATCTGGGCACCTACTGTTCGCCTGCCACAGAGAACAAAATATTCGTGTTGCAGTTGAGCACTGTGCCTGGTGTAATGGAAGTTCTTCTTATCCAGTTTTATTTCTAGGCTACTTGATTAAAAGGCTCCTAATAGCAGTGCTGGAACACATTTATGTTAGCTTAAGGCCATTCTAAATAACTGTGACAAATACTGCCACAGTCTAGAGATAATCTGTCTTTTCTCCCTGAGTGAAATGCCTGACACTAAGGCCTCCTGTGAAGTTTCTGTACAGAGAGGGATTGTGACACTTCAGGACCTTTCACACCTGAGTTTGGCCTGGAATGCTCCAGGTTATCTGACAAGGAAACACTGCAAATGGTTCAACAGGGACAATAATTAAAATGTGCCTTACTAGGTGCTGCTACATGTTTATACCTTGCTTTTTAGATTCTCCCTACAGAGGCTCTTTACAAGCCCTAGGACTCTCTTCAGGATCCTGTGCTTTCTCTGCTGCGATGTTTCTATAGTATGCAAGAAAGAGTATGAATTTGTACCAAATCCAGTCAGCCCAGAACAGCAAGCACTAGTTCTGTAGGAGGCCAATCTGGACTGTAAATACTGTGAACAATTAATAAAGCCCAGAGGCTTGGGAAAGTATTGATTTTCTTTCCAGTACTGCTGTGCTTCAGCCATCCCTGCTAGAGGTTAGTGTTCCCTCCATGTGGGTGTGACACTGCCTGAGATAGTGACAGTCAGGAATGAGAAATGGATGGAGCCTTATTCTGCAGTCAGTACAGAGGATTGTTCCACACCAGTAACCAAGGCAATCTCAGTATCTACCTCAGAGCAAAGCTTAATGACAATTTGCTTTTTAGCAGCTCTTGGAGAAGCAGGGAGGGGGGAACTGAACCACTGATGATATTCCTCTCCACACTGTTAGAGGATTTCAACTGAAATCAGAACGTGTGTTGCACATAGTACCCAGCTGTGCTCTGCTGGTTTATGCTTTTATTTGTTTGCTTCATATTTAAAGGTCTTAGATAATGGAAGAATACAGCATCTGTGTAAACTAGTGTGCTCTTCCTCCTCGCTGGTTCTGACGACTCAGATTTGCCTTCTGTATGTGGAAGACAAAATTTAAAGTAGTCTCTAATAGTGAATAAATTTGAGTGTTTAATTCTTTGTCGTATAAAAATAAATAGCTGTCTGACTTTTTGTCTACTGAAGGAGTACATGCTTATGAGCTGGTCTGGCAGTGATACTTAATAATGTAAGCAATTCAAGTCTGATTTATCGAGATGAGAACTACTGCCTTAATTTTAAATTATTTCCTTTAATTGGTCTTAAACCCAAGTTAATTCAAGTTTAGACAGTTTGGATAAAAGGTTTGCATGTTAAAGATGCAGGGTCCTTCTTGACCCATTTCACTGGGTATTCCTAAGACTTTCAGGAAAATGGAGAAAGCCCAAAATTAGCAATCCTGTCATTCTATATTAAATAGAAATTGTAGGTGCAAAACAAAGTTGAGACTTGGGTTTTTTTAACTAAGATTCCTTCTTTTACAGATCCTATATAAAGATACTTGAAGTTTACAGGCCCTTGAGATATTCAAGTTGAAACAAGAATCAAAGATTATCAAAGACCCCATCTGGAGTATATTGGCTAATTTTTTAAATCTCATTCCTGATTTACATATATATAAAACTTAATAATTTGTCTTTTGCTCAGAGGTGTTCTCTTCTGCTGCCTCAATAGTTACTTTTTAATTATTTTTCATGCTGTGAATTATGTGAATTATCTGTTTCAGTGTCTCTGATATTTTTGGTTTAATGATCCTTACTATAGCATTAATTTTCAGCTGTAAATTGCTGGGAATGACTGCTACATGAAGCACTCTCCTCCTACTGCCAAATGTATTTTGATTTGCCTCCTTTGTGTGCACATATTTCCTTGGTGATGGCTTTATCTTCAGTATCCTAAGACATTTCTAACAGCTTACCCTCTTCTCCCTTGTATTAGTACATCTTTGATGTGAAGAAGACAGAGGACAAAGTGTTGGTCTCGTTACAACAGGAGGATCGCCGCAAATACAAGAAGGAAGGGAAAGGAGACAGCATCCCAATAGGCTTTGAAATATTGAAGGTAGGCAGCCATCTGCAGCCCTGGTCCAGAGTTTGCTCAGCAGTCCTGCTCCAGCCTGGCAGTGAGATCTTGGGCAGAGGGAGGCACGATTATCAAGGTGGGGTCTGGCTCTCTGCTCAACACGAGGTGTGCATGTGTTACACAGACTATTTGTACTAGAGTTTAGTTCAGTTCAAACTCTATTTGAACTAAAGGAACATAAGTAATTTTTCCCTATTGCAAAAGAATTTGAAGTGCGTTTCCCACCTCAAGCTTAGGAAGGAAGGAAGGGAGGGAGGGAGGGAGGGAGGAATGGAGGTAAGCAAGGAAGGAATATAACTAGTGTAGATATCAGTAAGAAACTATTCATCGTGAGGGTAGTAAGGTTGAACTAAAGGAACATAAGTAATTTTTCCCTATTGCAAAAGAATTTGAAGTGCGTTTCCCACCTCAAGCTTAGGAAGGAAGGAAGGGAGGGAGGGAGGGAGGGAGGGAAGAAGGGAGGAAAGGAAGGAAGGAAACTGATGCTTGTAACATGGAAGTTTGTTACTCCTTCTCACTGGGGACTCCTGCCTCTGTTTCATTGGCAACTACAGCCAAGTGAATGTGTTTGGGAAGTCTGCAGTTCTTCTTTTGTCACTTACAAAAAAGAATCAAGAGTGTTTTTAAAAGCTGGAGTAGTAGGTAGGAAATAAGCATATGTGAAAAGGAACCAGAGCGATCCCAAACAATATTTTAATTGCGCTTCCAGGGAAAATTGAGTAAAATGAAAACATATGAACTGAAAGGAGGAAAGCAAGAGGAACATCTATGTCTCTGCTTTTTCATTGAAGATCAGAATTCTCTTATTTGATGCTATCACTAGTGGGACTACACTTAGCCTGAAGAGTCAGTTTCTAACAGTTAGAGCTGCTGACATCTGCATCACATCTGTTCATTTGACAAACACCTGTTAACCACATATATTTAAAAATACCATTACAGAAAGTAGCATAATTTACCTTGCCTTGTTCATGCCTGTGTAACTAATGTGGAAAGGCTTGGAAAACAGAATCACACCTTCAGAAAAGTATCAGTGCTTTGTCTTTATTCCTGTTCAACAATTTTTCTGTTTCAGAAGTGTTCTAACCCACCAGGCTCATTATGATGGCTAAAAGCCTTTGGAAGATCAAGACCTAAATTATCTGAAGACAAAAGATAACTACCAGAAAATAATGTAGGGTGATCTTTGCCCCCAGGAGCTGCTTAAGAAATAGGTTTATGGTCTAACTGTGCTGTGACACATATCAGTTCCTGAAGTGCAGAACAGCACTGCTTGGTATGTGGGCTAGCTTTTGGAGCAGTGGATTGCTCATCAGGACTCTCTCTGCCACAGTTTCAGTGGCTGAAAAACCATTTGCCAGACTGTTAGTCTTTATTGCACATTGTCTTTTCTGCCTGTGAAAGGCTGGGTGATGCGCAGGGAAATCCTGCCTGTTAGCTCTGATATCCTTCCTCTCGCTAATCCCTGTACTGCTCTGTGGCTGTAGGTGGAGGATAACAGAGGCTATCGACTACACAAGCTCACTGTGCAGGAGAGAGTGGCCACGTCTCCCTACATCAACACACGCACTGTCTTCTTGAAGAGGATCCTTAAGCAAGGCCGCTATGTCCTTATCCCAACTACGTATCGTCCTGGTGTCACTACAAAGTTCATCCTGAGACTCTTCACAGATGTGCCATCAAAACTCAGGTAGGTTACAGTCACAGTGAGATGAGATCTTCCCCTGCCTACACTGGCTGCACATCCTTGGAAATTGTTGCCTGGTTGCTCCCAAATATCCCAGATTTGCTCGCTCATATCACAGAATCACAGAATTTTTTGAGTTGGAAGGGACCTTAAAGATGGTTGAGTTCCAGCTCCCCTGCATGGGCAGGGACACCTTCCACTAGAACAGCTGCTCAGAGCCTCATCCACTTTGAAACCAGTGGCCTGCAAGGGCAGAATTAGTGTTTCATGAAATCAGGCTCACTGAATTATTTTCTTGCTTTGATACTATTTTCTGTGATTTAAAATGGGTTTTTTTCCACCACTTCTGCTGCCATGTGAAAGATGAAAAGTCTGTCATTTTTGTACCACAAACTTCAAATGTGATAGATAATGAAAGAGTACAAATCTCATGTTCTGAAAATGCCTAATTTCCACAACCATTAATTGTTTGCTTGACATTCATTGGTTCAACTGCGTTTCCCATGATTTTTCAGGGAGCTGAAGGCAGATAAGCCCAAATTGACATGTTGGAGTCTTCTTTGTGGCTATCCACGCAGAGTCACCCAAATCAAAATTCATTCTGCAGTGGGCTTACAGAAGCAAGACAGATCAGGTGGTAAGTGTAAAGCCAGCCCGGATGACTGGAAGGGGCTTCTTCACTCCTCTAAAATGATCTGAGTTGATATGTAAGCAGGCAGAAATTATCCTAACAAACTGAAGATTTATGGGATTTTTTTCAACACGTTGTAAGATGTCCAAGGGAGAGATCAGATGAATAAGATGATGTAAACCAGCAAGAGTAATGTTTCATCTATACTGGTCCAGATGGGCAGCCAGACCCTCCTGAGAAGCTTTTTGTGGGGATTAGTAAAAAATTCACCTCTTAGGATTGTGTGTTTTCGAGATGGAGAATATCCGGGGTCATATAGTGCTGACTTACCTCAGCAATGTCATTCGTTGTCTTCAGAGCACTTAGTTACTCATTACCAGAAGCTTAATAGCACTTCAGGGAGGAAGTGATGGTTTTCAAACAAGCATTTTCATCTGGATAAACTAGGACAGGAAGAGGTTAAATTACTTGAACAGGACTGTGTAGCTACACATTAAAGGAAGTGTTCTGAAGGATAGTAAAATGTCTTTGTGGCACCGTCTTTGTGGCACCTGATGTTGACAGTTAATCAGGAGACTTGTCCAGTTGTCATTTGCTTCCTCATTTTCCACTCTTCTCTGTCTGTCAGCTTTCGTTTTTTAAGACCGGTGTAGGAAAAGGTAGACCCACACAGCACTGAGTGGTTGGTAGGGAAGAAGCAAAGGAGCAATGATACTAAAGTGAAATTGGAACAGGAAAGTAAAAGGGTTCCTGAAACATTTGCTGTGTGTACTCCAGGTATCTCTTTAGCCCTCTTCAGTTTAAGATGTGGAGCTCAGTTGCATTAATTTCTCATGGTACAGAAGTCAGTAGTCTTAGACCTGTAGTACAGTTCATCTTCAGTCTCACAACACAGCTGTACATTTTCTCCCACCAGCTGCCTACAGTTGTATTTCAGTCCCCTTTTCAGAGTTGTTCCTGGCACCCACTGAGTGGTGACTGAAGGTACTTTTCTCTGTGAAAGACACTTTCTGCTAAGTCTGCTTGTCTCTTCAATGGACTGAAGGGAAGTGATGTAGAAAATTGATTAATTGCATGTTTCTTGGTACTTTTCTTGAAAAACAGAAGCCACAAACATCTCGGTCAAGCAGGAGATACGTCTCAGTGTTCTCAGCAAGACAGGATTGATGGTGACTGGAGGGACTGTACATGACTAGAATAGCAGAGCAGTGCACTGAAAGGAGCCAGGATGTTCTTGTTCTTGCCCCATGAAGGACATTTTCATTTTTAAGGGTGTTTTTCTTTGGCTTTTAAAATTCCTTAAACATTTTTCTTTAACATTCCCTGCAGTAATGTAATAAAAGCCAATTCTCCACCCTTAGCATTTCACAATCTTTAGCATAATTACAGTCTTGACAAGATCATTAAAAACAATTCCCAGCAGCTGCCAAAGCCCAGGCTTGTGCTCCAAGAGCACTCTGGGATTTGGTGCATTGTGACACAGACCCTCAGGAATAGACAAACTGGACTTAACAACCAATGTGTAATTTATTTTCTAACTACAGCATAGCCCAAATACCTTTAGTACCCAGTACTACCACAGGTGGCCAAGTTGAACTGTTTATAGAAAATGGACTCATAAATTTTTTTGTTTAAACCTAAGCAACACTGCTGCTTAGTTATTTAATCTGCTGAATAAAATGCAGAATTGTGTCAAGTGATAGTATTTGTGAATTAGTACTGAATTAATCAAGTAGCTGAAAAAAATCAGCCTATCACTGTCAGTTTTATCTGAAGTATTTCCATTTCCCTGTGTGAAACAATGTGCCATTTTCAAATTAATCCAAAACAAAAGGGGATTTGAACAGAGAAACAAAATTAATCTTATTGTTTGACTTTGAATGAAAGTTCACAAAAAATAGTGATATATTTTCTTTTTGTATCAACATATAGCTTTCAGTAAAAGCCTTTGCCTCTTTTCAGACTGTAGTTTCAAATCTCATCCATTCAGGGAGCCTAGTTCCTTCACTTAAGTAGTTTCCCCATTATCTTGAATTCTGCTGTGAAATCTGTTTGAATCTTTCTTTATTAGTCTCTGCCTTCTAAGGGCACCTTGCTGGGAAATTTGGCAAAGCTCCTGATTAATACTCCATTTTTGGTAACAGAAAAAGCTGGATGTGGTACATATTTCTCACATTTCGTGTTTAAAAGAGTGGATATAGAAATTCCTTGAAGCACACTGCCTGGATGGATTATTTACACTAGAAAGTAATGTGTCCAGGGACACTAAATATCGCATATTCCATTATTGCTTCTAATGCTGCCACAAAAGATTGTGACTCCTTGTCATCTCTCATCTCCTCTCTGGCTTCTCTGGTTCCACACCTGTCCACATCCCTAGCTCAAGGAGGAATAGCAGCCAGGCTTTTGAACAAGACCAGCTTCCTCAGAAGTGAGTTTTTATCTCGAAGTCACATGAGCAGTTACCAAAATACCAGCCTTACCTGCTGTTCCTGGAGCATTTCCTGATGTAAACTAGATTTAGAAGTCAACAGCAGCCTCCTGCCTAATCAATACTGTGAAATGAGGGAAGAGGCCAGGCAGCAGTTGCCATTGGGAGCAGCAAGTAGAAGCTTCCTTTCACGTTAGGCACAGTCAATATGTTTATTCAAGTAGAAAATAGGTAGATTAAATGATTGTGTTTGCCTGCTGATAAGAGGACCTCATACAAAGTTTACTCATTTTCTGGTGCAAAGGTAGTTGGCAACTTGTTTCTGTGTGAGCTGCTGTGTCTGATTAGCCCTTCTGCGTTTCGTAAGGATTTTCTGACTTCTTCACCTCCTGATCCGAAGCATCTTACCTCTCAAGCTGCTGCTTTTCTTATGCTCAGTCTCTGTCATCTGTCATTATTCTGCCTTGTCCAGCCACCTGGCTGGTTTGTCATTATCATCCCTTAGCATAGAGAGAAGACAAACTTGATGATAAAGGAGCAGGTTATGATTCATTCTGAAGCTTCTGAGAACTGAGACATGGCATTAATCTCTCTGACAACCTGTCTGAAAACATCAGGATGTCTCTATACTCTGACAGTTAGGTATGCAGTTCCGGAAAGTAAAAGCAGCCTGAACAGAGGTACCTTTTTTGATATAACTAGGACAGAGGGATTTTAGACTTGAATGCACTGTTCTTCACATAAGCCCATCACTGTCATCTGAGAGTTTTGCTTAGCTTAAATTTCTGAGCAGCTATTTAAACAAAACTGGAAGATAATTAAGATTGCACAGCAAGCGCATACCCAGCCTGGGTCACAAGCTGGTTGTCATCAGAACCCTGCTCCCTGCCAGAAAGATGTTGTTTAATCTCTATTTTAAATGTTTATTGGAAAGCTCCTCCTTGCTGCTGTCTCTTGTCCATTGTCCTGTCTGGAAAAAATAAGGGATGGTTTGCTGTTGCCAAGAAGAGTGGATGAATCTAGCTGCCCACACTCAATTCTGAATGCATACAGGCTGCTTCTCTTGGAAGTGCCTCTCTGAATTAGCTTGTTCTGAAGTTGATCCAACGATCTGTGTGCCAAGCACAGTGACAGGTTAGCAAGAACATGAGGGAGCACTATGCGCTTGGAGATTTTCTGTCTCTCATTCCCAAGTCTGTTTTAAACTTGCTCTCAGTACTATCTGTCACTATCCGTTCCCAAGAGCTCACTGTGCATAGATTTCCGTAAGCCTTAGAAATGACATTACTGTTCAAGTGCTGCTGGCTTTTACAGATTTCAACTTTTTCCTTTGTTCTGTTCTTTTTGTACAACTTGTCAATACATCTGCATGCCCACAGGACTGAGATGAAACAGCTGTTTATGCACAACATGGTTTTCAAGGCACAGCTGAGTCATGTGTGCCTGAGAGCTGAGCCCAGTCTTGCTTCCACTGCCAGAGCAGCTGCCAGACTAGCAGCTCAAGTTGTTTTCACTCCCAGCTCATGGCAGACATTGGAATGGTGCTTTTCCACAATAGTAGCCCTTTCTGCATTTCTTTGTACTGTAAATAAATCAGCTGTAGCTGAGAACATCCCTCGTCTTACTCCACATATGCAGCTCTCCCATTTCTTTCTTCTATTCTGGAATTGTTGCCAGTCCTTCTGATACAACTGACCGTTCAGCAATGCCATCATGAGGTTGTGTTGTGCAGGTACCTTCCATGTTCCTCTTCTACCTCCCCCTTTTCTCCTAGCCCTTTCTGAGAATTCAAACCTTTTTCTCCCAAATGTCAGCTTTCCTTCCCCTTTCTTTTAGCAAGCCCCTAGTCCAGCAGAAGCGCCTGTTACCTTTTTAAGCTCTCTGTCCCTTCCCTGCCCCTTCTTATGCCCTTTATCTCTTAATTACTGTAAATGATCAGATGTTGCTTTGCTCTTCGCCTATGGCCAAGGTAGTTGATACCATTTCATGCAAGACCCGATTTTATTCAGATCCATTTTCCAAGTCTCTTTGCAAAGGGACAAGGTTTTTCATCACTGATTGCACACTGTGGTGCTGCCCCATGCCCCAGACCTAAGTCCACACATTCAGTGACACAGAAAGTAATTGCCCATCAGAAAAGCCAATATATTGCTACCTGCTATGGGAAGTGTGAGAGGTTGTCAGGGTAACAGGCCTATCACGTGTCTGGCCAGGTGTCGTCACAGTGCAGCATATGGAAAATTGTTTCTTTCTCATAAGTGGAAGTAGCTCCTTCTGTTTTGGATGTAGCTGTTACATGGTTTGTTTGTGTGAGATGTTGGTATCCATTCCGTCAAATGACTGATGTGTTTGAGGAATATCATCCTGAGTATGAATTGTTTAAAAAACAAAAGCTGCCTTAAAATTGTGCTGCATTTTGGCTGTCATTCCAATGTGGTATTTTCAAGTAGACGGTGATGAAATAGTATGTAAGAAATAATCACAAGTCTAACTTACATGGTGTAAGTGTACCCACATTCAGTGGGCTTATTTAAAACCCATATCTAAAAAGTAGCAAGGTGTGGAAAAACAGATATCCTGTCATTAACAATAGGAATAGACAGAAATAGTTGTGCTGAAATACAAAAATATGGGTAGTGTCTGCATTTAATTAAAGTTAATTAGAAAATGGAATGGCCCATTCTATTTGAGGATAAAGACAAGTGTTTCCAAATGGGTTCTTGCTCCCTGTTGCAATGGAAATAAAACATTAACATTTACAGCAGAGTTAAAATGTTACGTGTTTGGTGCTTACATCTAGAGCAGTGTCAGGCAGAGTTTCACCTTGAAGACTATCTCCTAGATGAGCTGGGGGGATGCACAGGAGGGGAATGTGGAAAGGTAACAGTCCCAGTCTAGGAGCTGAAGTGGTTTCACAGCAAATGGTGCTTGATTTTCAGCTCTGAGCACCCAGTGGTTAGAGGAGCTTTTTCACCTCTGCAGTGATGGGCAGCTAGCAGGGGATGTCAGGGGCTCTGGTGCTCTGTTCCTGTGCTCAGCTGTGGTGGTGCTGCCAGGCACAGGAGGGGGTTGCTCCTGCTGTGTTTCTGTGCAGGTCTCAGCTGCCATTTTGTGTCCTAAGAGCTGTGCTGCTGATTGTTTTAGGAGCAGATCCCTTTGTGCTTATCAAGTGTGAGAACCAGAAGGTGCGTTCCTCTGTGCAACATGATACGACCAGTGCCATCTTCAACACCCAAGTGATTTTCTACAGGAAGAACATCAACAGTCCTATCATTATCCAGGTGAGATCAGCCATGCAGGGTGGGCTGCTGAAGGTGGGTGTGGGAATACAACAGCATCACTGGGCTTGATGTGTGCTAACGGTTCCTTCATGACTCATAACCAGGATAGAAGCATGAGAACCTCTGCTTCTCTCACTGGGCTGTGCCTGGAGCTGTTCAGCTGCTCTACTGTTTCTCTAGTCTAGGGCTTTTCCATAAAACAGCAACTGATGACACTTAGGGAATAGAAGGTATGTTTCATTCCAATCCTTTGAAGATATTTATGGAATTACCTTTTGCCTCATTTGGTACCTGACAAAACAGAGACAAAGGAAAATCTAGTGTAGTCCAGAGTCAGTCTGAAATAAAACCAGACCTGGGGCTACTATTAAGAATGTTTTGACCTTGAATTCTTGTCCTGTGAGAATGAGATCCCCCTGTTTACCTCAGCACTAAGAAACACAAAGCTTGGTATTAGATGAGGCAGTCCAGGAAAACTTTGGGAGAGTGGAATGGCATTTCAGTGTGATACACACAGTTTCTAGTGTTAGACAAATACTAGGGACTATGTCTCCTTCATCAGTGTAGGGACATCTTGCAAGAAATCTGCAAATCAATTAACAGTGGCACATAAGTGCCAGAAATTAAAATAGCTTTATAGCACTGTGTTGCAAGGAGGGATACTTTTCTGAGTGTTCACAGCCTAATGCAGTACTGGTGCATAGTCCTCCTTTACTCCTCTGAACTAATGGCTATATTCTACAAATACTGTAACTAGTAGCATGATGATACACTGTTATTCCCCAAACCACACACTGTAGTTATGAGGGAACAGTTATCAGAGCTGATGGCACATGGTTTGGGTTCTTGGCACCTGCAGAATTCTCTGATCCTTAGTAAAGCTTTGATTTACAGATGGCACCTCATGCTATCTCTCTACACCATGCAGCTCAAACACTTCAGCTTTTCCAGGGTAACTCAAAGTTAGATACTAATGGACTTCACAGACTGAAGACTGGCATGTGAGATTTGCAGCAAAACCCTTTTGGTTGCTACTTGCTGTACACCCAAGCTCATGCTATGTAGTGACAAAGGACTTGGACAAGGACTCCAAAACCACTGCTGTCCCTTGCTTGAGCTGTGTGGACCTGCTTCTAACACAATCAGAGGAGAAGCACTGAAGACAGTGCAGAGGTGAGCACAATCAGGCAGAATGGCACAGACAGGCTGATTGCATGTAGATTTTTACTGCCAATAAGCTCAAACAGGTAATTTTTATTCCTCTTCTAGGCAGGCTGTGACCTGGAAAGCAAAAAGCTGCATTTAGCTCCTTATTTGTATAGTGTATATAAATGAGCATGCAAATCCAGAATCACCCCCACACTCTCTAGACAAGTATCTAAATTCACATGTACACCCCCTCCTCGCTGCTTTTTCAAGGGGTTGGGGTGGGAGGGGGTGACTCTCCCCTAGCACAGCCCTTTCAGGTGGGGTGTGAGAGAAGCATTGCTTCAGCAAGGTTTATTTCTCTTCCCTTGTCTCTAGGTCTGGAACAGCAACATCCTGTGTGACCAGTTCCTCGGACAGGCAGTGCTGGCAGCTTCCCCCAGTGACCCCAGAGAACAGCAGACTCTGCAGCTCCGAGGGAGAGGCAGCCGAGAAGCAGCCGAGGTGCCAGGTCGCATCACTGTCAAGGTTTTTTCCAGCGATGACCTCGTGGAGCTATGAATACCAAAGCCCTGCAGAGCCAGACAGAGCTGTCACCTCACAGCAGGGGGCTTTGTCTGTGCTTTTGTGTGAATGACTCGGGAGCAAAGGTTGCACGTAATCATAATCGCTTTAAAAAGAAAAAGCTCTCTAACTCTCCACATTATCATGGATAATGGGGAGAGAGGCTTTGAAAGAGGGAAAAATACAAATTTATACATATATATGTTCATGATACAGGAAATGCAGCAAAAGAGGGGCCAAACTAAATGTTAGCAGATAAGCTCATTAAGATGTGACCATCTTCCCCAGCAGCATCTTTCAGGAGCTCTTGGCACATAAGCTGGAAGCCCATGTGTCTTGTCACAGGTTCCCAGCACGTTACTGGGACTGGATGCAGGCAGGAATGGCTGCATCTCCATGCTCACATACCAGCAGGTTGGTGGGGTGGCAGGCACAAGGTGGGTTTCCATGGCACAGTCCTTGTTCGCTGCCAGGCTGTATTTTGGAGGGGGAGGTTCTTTTAAGCTTTGATGGAATTTTTTTTCATCAAATAGGTATATAAAATTATTGGTGAATTTCATAGTTATTGCTACAGACCAGATATTTCCATTCCTTGGCAAAAATGTCATTATTACTCAAGGAGTTGAGTCATAGGTCAGAGCCTTAAGCCCAGGCATGCCAGGGCAACATTAAAATAGAAGGGCAGGTCTTGGCAGAGTCTATTTGAACATCACAGCAAATAAGAGCTTTGTGCACATAAAGGCTCTCAGATTGATTTTTTTTATTCCATTCTCCACCTCAAGCTGATGACTTACAAATTGGTATCTGGCAATAGATGGGCATCTCACAATTGAACTGTGGTTTTGCTCAGAGGGCAAATTCAGCAAGGGGAGCCTCCTTGCTAAGGAGGCTTTGTTTAATCCACATGATGCTAAAAATGGAGTAATACTCCCTTTGCTTCATTAGATGTGATGGTAGCACCAGACAGAGAAGACAAAATTATCTCATGACAAGGATGGGTTTGTAAAACAAAGATGCTGTGCCATGGCAGGTATCAGGTGTCACTCAAAGTTTTGCATGGGTTTGTTGTTGATAGAGCTAATGTCTTTGAAGAAGTTTAGCTTGGGTATCATGGAGGACAGGTTTCGTTTCACATTTCCTTCAAACAGGGCTCAGGTACAAACTTTCTTTTAACCTTTACATGTAGCTTGATGGAAACATTTCCTCATAGCAGGCATTTCTGTGTCGTCAGACTGTGCAGTGATTCTGGCAAGGGAAGAGGTTCAACGTGTTAGATCTCTTGGAAATGGGTTTCATATGGTTGCAAATTCTGGTGTTGGAAGTGTAGCTCAAGGATGACTGTTCTGCCTTTTGTACAGCCAGGAAGTTTTGATTTCTCTGTACCCTGTAACCATTTCAGGCATTTTGTGCAGTTTTTGTAATTTATAAAATGGCCCTCAGTAGAGTTAATGTTTTCACAAAAGGTTTTTAAGTATCCTCAGGGATCATTGCCATGGAAGGAAAAAGCTTTCTCTGACATGTTGGAGATGGAATATATGGCTATGAATGATATTTTACCACCCTCAGCTTAGTTATGTGGACCAAGTTCCTAAATCCAGCAGTTTTTAAATAGCTTGGGCTCAAGCCGTTTTGCACACAGAGCGTTTATCAGATGTGAACTACGTGAGGTTGACAGTCCTACAGGCAAGTGAATTCTTCTCTGTAAACTCACAGCTTCAGAGTTGCTTATTTTCAGGTATGCTTGTAAAAATTTATATAATTTTTTTTTTTTTTTAAAGCATAAATTGTCACACAGACCAGAGCTTGGGCAAGGCACACAGGAACTGCAGCTCAGTCTGTGCTGTCTGAGCCCTCTCTGCATCGCTTTTCTTCCCACACAGTTTGATGCTGTGGTGGCCCAAGGGCTGCAGCCCCTTGGGTGCAGAGCACCATGCTGGTGTTTCAGCCATGGATAGAGCCCCATGCTGCGATTCGTGGGGCAGCAAAGCCTGCAGGACAGCACACCAAGGCAGAGCAGAATAGGTCATGTCATAGTCCTGTTTCAGATGGACTTTTCTCCAGGGGCTGTTCTGTATGAGAAGGGTGCAGTAAGAAGGGGTTGGCTTGGCCAGCTGATTGATTTGGGTCAGTGTTTAGCCTGAAGAAGGTTCCTGAGGGACAGCACCCAGCAGGGCCTGGCTGCCTTCCCTTCTGTGACCTGGAGGGAGGTGGAAGGAGACCAGAGGAGGCTTATGCTCCCCTGCCCAAATATTTGCCTGGTCTGAGAGTTGGTGTGAGCTCATTGAGCTCTTCTCAAAGCCCTTGGCTGCTTCTTTTGAGCCCTGCAGCACTGGGCTCTAGCTTTGGGCTACACATCCCACTTCAGCATCTGTGTAAGGGTTGTCCCACATGTCAGCAGGGCAGAGGGAGCTTGACCAGCAATTCTTGTTGTGTGCAACCTGATAAGGAGAGATTAGCTAAAGGTGATGGTTATTGTCAGTGTCTTCTTCCTTGCTGTCCCTCACCCTAAGACCACGAGCCCGGTCTGGGGATGTGTCCTTGTCCCTGGCCACACAACAGCAGTCTCTCAGGAGCCCTGTTAAGATTTTAAGGTGTAGTTGCTGTTTGTCTCAACTCACTGTTTGGAATTCTCAGTCTAGGGAGCTGCAGAGCAGAGAGCTGGGCCCGGCTGCTGCGGCGTGGCTGGGTCAGCCCGGCTGGAGCGGGGAGCAGCCGGGGCGGCAGCGTCCGGCCAGCATTTCGGAGAGCTGCGTTAC